AGTACAATATATATATATATATATATATATATATATACATCTACCCCAACAGAAGTGACAAGGCCCTACTCTCTTCACCTTAACCTTAACAGTAGTTCTCTAAAGTGGTGTTAGATTACTGACTCACTGCTGATTTACCTGGTCTGTGCCAGCTCCATCCTCTGCTGGAAGACCTCCTCCTACAGCCATGCTGAGAACATTGGCTTGGTGGTTGATAACAGTGGTACTATACTCATAACTGCTCTGACATGCTACATTCCTCACTCTGAGCTGGTCAGGCTTTACTTTACTGCATGGAAAAGAGCACCAATGTTAGATCTGGGTCCTTCAGTTGATCTTCTCAGAGCTCCAAAAGTGTTTATCATGACCTCCATCCACTAGTGAAATCGCCCATCATGACAGAAATTGTTTCAACTCTCATATAGTACCTAGAGTCTGGAAATTCAACAAACAGATAAGGTCTCACTGTACAGCAAGACAGTCTGATGGCATTTCTATATTGCAGATCTTGATGATATTGTATGATTAAATCATACTTCTACAATGATGTTATCCAGTGTGCTAAAATTCCATCCAGATTTTTGAAGATCAACCATTTCAGCAATGCATGGTCCACTCTAGTAGTGAACTCTGTGTGATACAAGTAGTATTAATAGTGTTTTATGAAGACTATAACTACAAACAGTTCTTTCTTTCTCCAGTATTTGCATTCAGGAGCTGTAAGTATATGATAATATATGTGATTACACATTCTACTCCATCCAGCAACTGCAATAACACTGCTCTGATTCCACTAACATTGATATCTTACAAGACCTCTCAGTCCTGTCATGGATACATCAGCACTAGGGCTTCTTCTAAAGTATGCTTTAGGGACTGGGTTGCTTGCTCACATTCTTCACTCCATCTGAAGTGTGTCTCAATTTTAGTGAGAGCCAATAATGGTGTGCCAACCTTGGAGAAGTTGGCCACAAGTCATTGATAGTACAATGCCAAACTGAGGAAACTATGAACTTCTGGATTAGCCACAGGTTAAGGCCAATCCCGCATTCTTATGATTGTAGCAGGATATGTGGATATTCCATATCTACCCACAAAATGACCAAGAAATCCCACTTCCAAGTACATGAATGCACATTTTCCTGGTTTCAGTTTCAAACCTGACTTTTTTATCCTCAATTGTAATGTCGTTTTCAGATTCTCAGCCACAGTCTCGAACAAGCAACCAAACGTTTACCAAGATATCATTGACATAAATTAGGCACCTCTCCTATTGCAGTCCCTTCAGTGTAAGCTCCACTAGCCTCTCGAAAGTGAAAAGTGACTTATGAAATTCATACAAACCATCTCTTGTACTGAAAGCAATCTTTGGTCTGCTCTCATCATCCAGCTTGACTTACCAGTATCTGGATGATAGTTCTAGTGTAATTAACCAATGGACTCCTTCCAATGTCTCCAGACATTCAGTTATTAACGATGGTGGAAAGGTGTCAACAAGCATTATTGCAGTAATCCATCTGATATCAATGTAGAACATGGGTTTGCCTTTCTTCTCCCTGACAATTACTACTGGAGATCCTGTCCTTTAATATATTATGTACCTTAGCACTGGCTACATCCCTAATGCCCCACTTTGCTCATTGTGCTAATGATCATTCCAACATGAAGTTGAGTTGCCTGTCATCCATAATTGCAGAATAACAGCGTGACATCATCCCTCCTTAGACAGATAACTACCCGAGCAAATGCTGCTTGCTTTCTGGACAGGAAACAGCTCGTTTCATACAAGGGATCTATTATTACATTACGTGGTATCAATATATTAGACTTTGTCCATAGTAAACAACAGAACATCGCTTGTGTACATGGGAGTACTGTGAT